AAGCGGAAGATAGAATTAAAAAAGCTTTGGGGGGGGGGGGGGAATGATAAGTAGTCAAGACATTAATTTATGTAGGCTGAGAATCTGTCTAGAGTACATATTGTGTCTGAATAAACTGAAATCTGAGCCAACAGCTGCTTCATCAGGGCAGAACAGAGCAGCCTCTGTGTTGAGAGAAGAGATCTCATGCTCTGACCTTTGGAGGATCGTGAGTCTTGTGTAACTCCATGTCATTTGAGAAATGAAAAATGTTGGTCTTCCTGTGGTTGTTGAGATTGAGAGCTGAAATACGTATCTCACAGAGAATGCCAGTGTTGGGCTACAGCGTGCCGACAGCAAAGATAGATAACAGTAATTATTTGCACAGGTTGTTTCCCAGGTTAACTCATGGAAAGGCTGAGCTTAATTCTTCATTGTTGAATACCCTTTCGTAACACATTACTCTGCACATTAATTTTGCAATGCTTTCAACTTATTTAGTTGCCTATTTAAGTAGGGGGGATTGAGTCAGATCTGACTGGTGTGAGATGAAAAAGCAGTGACCTCCACAAGAAGCTGGCTGCTCTGGGCTCTTGTCCATGTAGGCAGAGGCACCACCTCTATAAGCACATCAACAGTTTACTGAATGGCTGATTTTATTGGTTTTCAAAAGATTACATAGAAGGAGCCAGTTTTCTCATCTGCCTCTTCCCATGCAAGTTATTATCCCCTTGACTGACTCAAATCGAAGAGGACTGTCATGACGTGTTTGTTAGGTTTACATTAGCCGACAAGCTACGCTGTTAGGATTTCTAAATGAACGCTGAACATCAACACACAAACCCCAAACTTCTCAGGGCAAGACTTTCTCTAGATGCACAAAGCAGCTGCTGCATAAGGCAGGCCTCTTGTCTGATGCCTGTGCTTATCCCTGTAACAGGCACAGTTATACATAATGAGGGGGAAGGGAGACCCCCCCTCACACCACAAACTATCCACCCCATAACCCAGTTATCAGAAATACCGAGAACATCTAGGGAAGAGATACAGGAAATCTAGGAGGAGAGATTCCATAGGAGGTTTGCCACATGTTGCAACTGTTCCCTAGACTATATTTGTCTATATTTTTGGACATGCAAAGCAGGAATGAGGTCTTGAAAGGTCAGTGTGCAACCTTCTTCCATTAGGCACTTGCCAGATGAGCAATGCTTGACAAACCCACGTGAACTGCCAAGCAGACAAATGAGCAGCATTTCACAATCGTCCTCAGCACTTCTGTAAAACAGCTGTGGCAGCTGTGTCTTCTAGATGAAAAGCACTAATCCACAGGGGGTTCAGAGAGCAGAGGCTTGTTTCTCCATCACATTAACACAAACACTGTCGCATTTTCAGTTTGAACTGGAGGAAAGGAATATTAGAAAATAAAGAAGCTTATAATTTATGAGCAACTGTATTTAGGCCTACTTGAAACTCATTTGAGATATCCCAAGACACAGTTTCTGTATTATATAAATGGGAGTCTCACCAGATCAGCAAATCATCTAATTTTAACCTGCTGACAAGACTATGGGATCAGCAGTAACACCAGGACTACACCAAGTGACTTACTATGCAGTTAGGGTGAATCATAATCGCTTTCTTTCTCATTTTCCCTATTTGCAAAGCAGAGGGAAATACAATATCTATCTCTCAGGTACCAAGTGGCAACCAATTCATTATTTGGAGAGCACACTGATGGTCCTCGAGTCACAGAAATGCTGAGTACAAATCATCAAGCATTTAAGAGCTCCATGAAGAGCTTAAAAGGGCTAAAAAGAGGAAAGATCTCAATGAAGATTGTGTTGACAACCATGAAAACATAGCTCAGTGTACTACTCCTGAAGGCTTAGCAAAGGGTTGTGCAAAACCTGCTAACTTCCTTTAAGACAGATGAGACTCAGCCAGTGCTGGGAGCTGAGCCCAGAATCCCACGTATGAGGCCACACTGTGGTCAGAGGAGCCACAACGCCCACTGGCAGGGAGACTAATGGTTTCTGCACTGGGGGGTTGATCTCGTCGCTGATGTTGCAGGCGTCTGCCTCTCCTGAAGCCGAAGGGTTCAGCTCTGGCTAGCAGTGGCAGCACTTTTGAAGACTGAAATTATTACTCAAGTTTACCACTCCTACTGCCAAGTGTCCTCTTTTTCCACAGCTACGTTGCCCTGCTTGGAGTCTGTGATCTTTACAAGCAACACCAGAACTCCAGCCTGGGCTAGATGCTGTGATATTTCCAATGAAATGCAAAAGGCACAGGTCACACAAACATGTACAGGCAGAGGATCTGGGTTACACACGAGACAAATGCATTGCAGACTACCTTTTGCCTGTTGGTTGGAGGTTAAAGGTATAAAAAGAGAACGAAAGCTATGCCAGTTCAGCTAGAACATTGTTACCCTTCCTGAATTGTAATTTCAGCATCAGGTTCTGTTTCATTGCAGAAAGACTCCATGCTAAAAATTATCATTATGTTAAGTAAGAATGGCCTACACATCAGGCTTTCTGATTTATCCAGCTACACAGAATTACATTTGAGGGCTAGGTAAATTTGGCCACTTTCATAGCTCCTTCAGCCTTCCTGTCACCTCTACATGATAGACAAAAACACTTGTCTTTCAGAAACATCCTGCCTGTGCACATCCTGTGCTCCAGGTAGCCTAAACGTAACTCTGACTGACCCTTGTTCAACAGGACCCTTCAACTACCATTTTATTTTGGTGATGCTGGACAAAACTGCATGTTGGGGCTTTAAAACAGGCCCACAAGAAGAAAAAAACATGCTTTGTATGTGACATATAGGGTTATGCTTAGACACACCTTGTGACAGCCTTCTCCTGACTCTGAACAATCATCAGCATGGTTTTGAATTCATCAACCCAAGGAAAAATTTAGAGATGAGAACTTCCAGTAAAACACTATAGATTATTCTCCAGTTGGATAGCTTTAAACTAAAAGCAGATATATATGCTAAAAAATCAGCATAAGTGGGGACAACACAAGTTTGTAATTTATATCTATTATAATCTTTAATCTTTAGCTGCATTATCAGTACTGCAAGTACAAAGCAAGAAACATGGCTGTGAGGATACAGTTTGGTTAGCCAGCATCCCTTAAAGCAAGCCCTGGAGTCTGCAGGAAGAGTGCATATCTGGTTTTGAATGTTGAACCTGTCTAGCAACCTGAACGTACTATCTCCAGGACAAAGGCTTAATTGAAATACAGAAAGGAATGATAGGAAGCAAGACCCCTAGACCCAGTATTCCATAAAAGGAGTGTTTCCTACAGGACTCTTCCATTCCTTGGTGATTCATGACCTTGAAATATTTATTTGTGTTATCTGATATTCCTTTAAGAAGACTGATTGAAGCAGCAGTAACTTCAGACCATAACTCTTCAGAATTCCTTCCCCAGTGTGTATTAGAACCTGCTGCAGCACAGGGAAAAAAACCCAAAATATGCTAAAAAATCCAAACCACACTACACAGAGCTTCCTATAGAAAGTTGCGTTTGTTATTAGATCTTCCAGAAATATAAAATTTCTTGCAGGGTAATTGCTACATTTCAACAAAGAAAAAGAAACTGCAAAGAGAAACCAAACTACTTGGTAGTCTTAGGAGATGCACAGAGTAAAAACGATTTGGGGCACATACCACCCAGAACAGGAGCTTTGCATGTCTACTTATCTCCACAACTGTGACCCCCCAGAGCAAGAAGATGCCTAACACAAAGAGGTGAGGACAGCAGGCTACTAGAGAACATGGCCTAACCCTACTCCTGCTACCACCAGGTGCAGTCCTGTGGATCAGTGAATTTGCTCCTTTCCTCGAGTGGGACTGTTACACTCACAGTGACCAGCAGTTGTCACCATGGGAAAGGTATGAAGTGGGAGTTTTATAGGCATTCATTCTTGATTCAAGACTAGTCAGCAGTTTGATTTAGGAGTACACAAATCAAAAGCAGAGAGGTGGCGTGGGAAGACCCCAAGTGGAGGATAGAATAGTCCTGCAGGATTATTAAATTTAAGATGTAATATTGTAGAAAAAAGCAAAACCCCAGTAGGATTGAGTTGGGTACAATGTATTAAAATCTAAAACTAAGGGGGAAAAAACATCTTTTAAATCAGTGGCTGAACTAAGACAATCACCTTTGGAATGATTATACAACACAAAAGAACAAAGTGTCACTGGTTGCAGTTTGTGCCATCGGTTCATTCTGCTACAATTCCAGTTTGAATACTCCTCTGCTCATTGTGAAGAGCACAAAACTCCACTGTCAAATTCTCATGAATGAAACAATTTAATCTTGGCTTCTTCTGTACTAAAATTGCAGCAGTGACTGAAATGAGAAGGAAAGGGGTGGAAAATAGTGCCAGAATGGAAGCGAGTGCACCAGAAACAAAATTCAATAGGGGAGACTTGAAAATCACCTCAATCAGGACATTCAAGGCCACCATGGGTTGTACACCTCAGACTTTGCATGTCCCTTAGTGGGGGTAACCATTCATTAACCAAAACCATTTGCCAAGTGATACAATATGGCTCCTGAACAAATTCACATATCTTCCACTCAGTTTAATTAAAAACCCCAAGGTCTCCCTGAACAAAAATGTCTGTTCATATTATTCTAAATATATTGGGTCAGCAAAATATCTTATAAATCCTAAGGACAGAACTCCACAAAATTTCTATTCCTTTGCCCTCTCATGACCAAATTGTAAATTATATTAATGCTTTTAGTGACTAGATTTGCAGATTTTCTTAAAGTACTTCAGCAATTCCTACCATGTATGATCCAGGCACCTTTTCAGGATTTTAAACACTTTATTTTTTTTGCCTTTTTTTTTTTTTTTCCAAATGTGACATTTGACAAAAGATTTAAGATTTTAAGATTTAAGGTGTCAAAACTTTGAGTACACCAATCTAGGAAGATTCATGCAGAATGTATAGAAAAAGTTTCTTTCTTTTAAAATTTCTTTATCAGAAGTACAGTAGGTTTTCTGATGTCTTCTCACAGCATTCTCACTTGTTTTCATGTACAATTTCACTGACAGTTTTCAGTATACAAAGAGAACTCAGACCAAAAGTTGAGGAACTGCACGAGACCACTGAGGTGAGATAGGTCTCTTTCAAATGGTATTTTTATCCTTCTACTAGGAAAGGCATTGAACTTTTTTTTCTACAATGGAAAAAAAAAAATAGACAGGTGTTTTGTCCATAGTTTTATTTCACCAGGAAGGTTTATACAGTTCTGCATAAAGGTCATTGTATGCACAGCCTGAAGTACAAAACTCCCTTTGAAAACTCCAGCACAAAGACACTGCATATTGACAACATTAAACAACAGTGTGGGTGGTACAGGGTGAAAAAACAAGATTAAAACAAAACAGCATTCCTCGTATTGGAAAAGAGAATAAAACAAGGCACTTCCAGTAAATCAGTGAGGAACAGAAACAAGCAGTATCAAAGATTCCACAGAGCCGAACTCGAGCACTGTAACAAAACTGCAGTAACGAACAAGTAAAATACAAAAAGGCACTACACAGCCCTCTCTCTGCAACCCCCCTCTCAACCAGCCAGCCAACTCGACTTGGCACAATGGAGTCTTAGTTATAAAGTGCATCTCCTGTCTTAATACATTTTGGAAAACAGGCTATAGAACACATGTAGTAACATCCTCATGTGTACAATATCTTGAAACAAAAATACATTGCAACTAGATTCAAACTAGTTATGAACTGTGCAGAAAAAAATATGGCTTCACACAAGTTTTTCAATAATCTCCATATAATCTGGAATATTTTTAAACAAACACAAATGCATTATCAAGATGGTAAGAGGTAGTGTTCCAAGTAAAAGGCAAACTCACAAATTTTATTGTTATGCAGGTATATAGCACAGGCATCCAAGATTTTCAAAGCAGCATTACTGAACAAGAAGTATTACAGCATGCTCTCTTGGGATGAAAATACACAGTGTTCTGGGGGTCTCACATTAGTTCCTTCAGCAAAACTGACCATTTAAAAAAAAGTGTCCAACTGTAGTCTTATTTTATAAGTACTTTTCTCTTGGTACTGTAAGTTTTCCTATTGCATTGCATTAAAATTTCCAAAACAAATATTCTTCAACTTTAGAATTTAAAACCAACACATTTACGCTCTTATAAACATGAGTCCATTTTTACTTCCAACAAGCATTAATTCATGGCTATAAGAATATGAAAACACAAATACCAAACAGATGAACACATCAAAGGTGTCACATCAGTGGCAACATATGACATGCTAGTTAGATGTGTCTGCTGATTTAATGTGAAGCTTCTGCCACTCTGCCAGGAGAGTCAGCCAAACCGTCTGCGCACGCTAGCTAGCCTGCAGCCAATTTTAGCCCTCACTAGACTTTGACACAATAAATATATAGAGGCTAGATAAAAACTGAAATCAAAGCAGCACTGGCTATCTTTCCTACATTAACAATTTGCAACGATTTATGTAAACATTCAGTATGTGCATTCCTG